ATCAAATATTGGACGTGCGAGGAATTGAACCTGCAACCATCGCAATTAAGGCGGTGTGCTAAATCACTAGACCACCGAGCCCGTCAGAAAAACAAAACATTTGAGTTTAAAAATAAAGTTACGTTCAATACATGATCGAATTGAATAAAAAATATTGGTCCCAAGTAAATATACAATGATCATTTATTACGGTCTGTAAATTTATAACATCATTCATATTGAATAATCGCATCAAGAGAAAAATATACGAGATCTGACAGCTTACGACGTACGCATTATGTATACATGTGTTGTTTGCATCATATAAATTTGGAGAGCTGATATATCTTTCATACTCATGTTTCATTAGTAATATTTAATAATAATCTCAGGACAATTCACACAGCGCCATCTAGACCCAAGTTAAGCTAGCTAAAGATTGTGTTATGAGTACTAGATAACTGATACATATACATAGATATTTTTTTTTGTAAATATATACATATTATATATAGAAAACACCCAGACCGATACAAACAATCATACTCATGAATACAAATGTTTGTACCGTGCGAGGAATCGAACCCGCGACCATCGGTCGTAATGCGGTGTGCTAAACTGCTAGACCACTGAGGTCGTCACATTATTATAATTAGTATACCTAATTCAATTATGGACACAGAAAACCTTATAACACATATTTACCTTTACACATTCTACACATTTATCAATCATTACATTGATTTGTGAAGCAAAAACTTTGTACCCATTTCTACGAAAATTGCGTGGAAGGAGAAATATGTAATTTTTTTTTAATTTTATTTGGGATACAAACAGTTTCACAATGTAGTATGTATTTAAGTACGTAGATATGAATTAATGATAGTAAAACCAATACAGATATCCACGGGTTAATGCGTTATGTTACTCTTATTATTTTATATACATTATATACAAAAAATTTAGGGGTGGACTACCCCTAATTTTTTTTTTATTTTAAGTCAAAACAACGTTTGCTGGGACAGCTAGTAATGTATATAAAATAATAAGAGTAACATAACGCATTAACCCGTGGATATCTGATTAATTCATACCCCTAACATTTAGGGGGATGAATTAATAATGAAATAATAGGGGGATGAAAATTATCAGACCTACTCAATACGCTAACAAAATTTCATGAGAATCGGTCAAGCCGTTTCGGAGGAGTATGAGAACGAAAACTGTGACACGAGAATTTTATATGTAAGATTTATTACTGGTTTCTAACTAATATGTCTAATAGGGTTTTCTTTCTAATTTCGCACACTTGTAATTTATATATGGCAGTAAAGTCCTCGAGTGGCAACCGCGGACTGGAAGACGTAGCGTGGGAAGGCCTCCAGCAAGGTAGACCGACGATCTGGTCAGGATCGCTGGAAGGCATTGGATGCGAGCAGCTCAGGACCGATCGTCGTGGAAATCTTTGAGGGAGACCTTTGTTCAGCAGTGGACGTCTTCCGGGCTGCGATGGCGTTGATGTAGTTTATATATAGGAGTGCAATTGCTATATTTTTTTAAATTCTATATAAAAATACTTTCAATTAATAAAAAAACAGACACTACCATGTATTTAATACACACACGCACAAAAATAATTTGTTAATTATCTCCGAATTTCGACCATTCGACAGCCACTAGTTAAGTTTACTGGTCTGCTCTAATCACTATGACTGATTTAATATTTCGACTCCAATGAATCAATGGGACAAAATGTGGGTCGTGCCGCATCAAGAAAAAAGAGCATGATGGAAGATCACAGAAAGTAGCAAGAGCTCCACCGACAAGAGCGTAGCTCTTGTCGGTGGAGCTGTGAATGAATGAACGAATAAATTAGTGTTAGTTGGTAGTTTGTATTCACACATTTCAACTAAAAATGTAAAGTTACAATTGTTTAAAGAGCAACACGTAAGTCTCTTGCTTGTTCTTTGTGTGATGAGACAGTATTTCAAATGTGGCGTAGATAAGAACTTTCTATTCTATTCTATTGACAATTAAAGTTCTAAAATGAATGACAGTCGAATATCGTAATGGTACATCGGATATGAACCACCACCCAGCCTCCCTATATATACAAATGTTATAACTTATATATAGGTACGTATTAATATTGAAAATAGTTTTACATGTATTGTCTATCTCCTGCAAATACATGGAATTATCCGTAATTGCATTCTAACAAGTCTATTTGTGTAATTATTTATGTTAGTTTACCTATAATATAAATTTTATACATAAATGGCAAATATTATTCGAAAAGTAGGTAGGTACAACGCTGTGCGATGTTTACTCGTATAATATTCTGTTTGATACAGTCACTTGTTTAATCAGGTCGAATATGATTTTGAGGACTTGTTAGCAATAATAATGAAACCGCTTGTATATGTTTATACCGAGGTAGACCATACAATTTTATCTGCGTAAGTACCTCTCTCTTATCTATTATTACGTTTTTTTTATCGGACTACTCTAATGCTGTTGGCGGTAGCTGATCTTTATAGCTTCACCGGACGATAGGGGGCGAGTGCAAATGGCGCTCCAAATCCGCGGAAGGACTTATGGAGGGGCTGAAGGCCAACTCCCGCCTTAGTCTTAGGGAGTGCCCTAAGACTAAGGCGGGAGTTGGCCTTGGGTACCTTGACCAGTGGGTAGGGGTTCGAACCTCAGCTCAGGCCGTCGTAATTTCGATCCCCGTTTGAATTGGATGGGAAATAGATCAGAGGGGCGTTTATGGTGAGCAAAATTTGATATACCTACATTTCGCTGAGATCTTCGCAACTTAGTGAGAGTATAAATGTCTTATTGTACTATTAAAATAGATATACTTACACTTGCGGTATTATTATGTTCAAGTAATAAACTTTTTCGGCTTTTTAAACTGTTTCGGGGGAACACAGTAAGGTACGACCTATAGAGAAAAGTTGCTAGATATCTGTCTTGCACGGCAACCATAATCATGATCATAATTATCTTCAAGTGAATAATAATCATTAGAATAATAATCTTTATTTATTGCTCACAAGGAACCTTACAATGTACATAAATTATGTTTTTAACTTTCAAGTAATTTCTTGTGAGTCAGGAGTCTGAACTAGATCGTAACCTGTACAGTAGACCTCTAGAATTTCTCCGGGATCTTGCAGTACTATATTATACGTCTTAAAGAATATTAATAGCGTGTTTTGTGAGTCAAGTTATACATATTTTAGTTTAAAGTGTTAAGTATATGTGATAGTTTGTGTGGTATATATGTGTGTATGAAACCACACTATGTGTGATAAAGAGAGTATGAGCGTGGATGCGTGAGGTGTAAGAAATTTGGATACTACTAAAAATTTATTGTCCAAAACAATAAATGAAACATATATAAAATTGGTTTATAGAACAGACAACATTCTTTCACTATCTGATCATCATCTGCTTCTTCCTTTTCCCATTTATTTGGGGTCGGAGTAATAAATGTTTCTCTTCCTTCGTCCCTTTTCGCAGTCATCTCGTTATTTACTCCCCTTTCTTAAGATATCTTTCATACAGTCCATCCATCTCTTTTTTGGCCTTCCTCTGCACTTATAACGATCCATCCTGATACAATAGGGTCAATAACTTTAATAACATATACATCTGCAAGCAATATTACCCCATCTCTATTAAACACTGGGTAAGTAGCTAATGTTAAAAGTTGTAGTTTCCACAATATTAGTATTTGATTAATGTTTTTATTGAACTAGTAAGATATCACTCCGCCGATAAAGCAAGATTAATGTCACCAAATGAAATTTACCAAGTTGAGACGCAGCCAAGAGTGGGTGGGATGGGGGAAATTGTGCTAATGATAGCTGTGGATCTAAGTGGCTTTGTTTGTTGGCTTTTTGGCCGTGACGTTATTTATTAGAGAGCCAGAAGGTTTTTATGGCAACAGACTGTTGCTTGCCAAACGGTATTGTTCAATTTCTGGCCAAGCGACGTTAAGAGAAGATTTCGGCTGTTTTATAAGTATTATTTCTATTATTCTCAAGTTATTGATGGTGGTCCAGCAGTTTAGCGAACCGCTCTTCTTCCGATGGTCGTTGGTTCGGTAGCTCGCGCGATACAAATATTTGTATTCCTGAGTATGATTGTTTGTATCGGTCTGGGTATTTTCTATGTATAGTATGTATGTATTAACAAAAAGTCCAGTACCCATAACATAAGCTCTGCTTCGCTTGGGACTAGATGTTCGCTATAAAGTTCTAACTTGTGGCGCTGGGTCGATGTGCTCCCTCAAATATGGTTGAGTGCAATGATGGCTGGCTCATCCGACATACTCGTGAACGGGTGCTGCTTGTGGGGACTGGTTTGTTTGGGATGCGAACACTGATTAGACTATTTGCTTTTGCAATAGCATATGCTGGCGGGCCCTCTTTCTCCCAAGTTTGAATTTAAAAATTAATCTGTATTATTGTAAACATGACCAAAATAACGTAATCTAGTCGCAAGGAAGCAGAGCTTGTGTTATTGGTACCAGATAGCCGTGATAAATACATTGTTATTTTTTTTTGTAAATATTTACATAAAGTACATAAAAAATACCCAGATTGACACAAACTTATTTTTGTTTGTGTATACATATACAAATTATTGTAAAAATGCTAGGAATCGAATCCTCGACTAAACGGTGTAGTAAACTGCTAGGCAACCAATGCCGTAAAAGTATACAGAGCTACTTTGAATTATATTAATAAACATGAGTACAAAATAATACCTAATTTGTAATAATAAAGCGTATTGAAGAGATATTTTAAAGCAAACAACAAATAAACACATTATTTTATTACATTACTGGCGGCTATTCAGTAAATCTAATTTATGAATCTGCCTCTTTCACTCATCGCTGAATCTAATATGAACGACAAAGACAACCGTTGAGACTAAGTTCCGCATGGTTTGCTACAAACTGCAGACGAAGAGCTCCAGGACTAATGAAATCATTCGTTTGTTCACAGAAGCCGGCGGCCTCCGCACCACTGAACTCCGAATAACGCCGCGTGTCGTTCAAAGAGGGAGAAATGTCACTATGGAGTGTGTTTACCAGACGCACGACTATGGTATTTACTCAGTCAAATGGTACAAGGGAGCTCAGGAGTTCTACAGGTATTCCCCATTGGAAGCTCCTACGACTAGAGTAATGCCAGTCAATGGAATTAAGGTTGATGTAAGTAAAGCACATGTTTTATGATATTTAAAAAAAATATATAAATAAAAGAAGATATTTGGGTAAAAAAAATAATATTAAATCGTAATATATTTTTCAGTTAGATTTTCCAACGATCTACGTTCCCAACGTAGGCCTAAGCTAATGTATCATCAGACAAAAATCGTATTCGTCAGATAGGATTTGGGCTGCTGCTATTTTTTTTTAATAATTTGCGGCTCACCTGATGGTACGTGATTACTTTTGCCCATGAGCCTGCAACGTACGGGGAAAAGAAAGTTCGTTACGAAATATCGACGACCTGAGCCAAGGTTCGTAATCATGGTGGTGCCATCATGGTGAAGTATTATCCGTCAGGCGGGAATTTACCTTCAGCCGCGCTATAAGTCTTTCCGTTGGTTTGGAGTGCTATCTGCACTTGCTTCTATCGTTGAGTGAAGCTGTAATACCAGCTGCGGCCAACAACATTAGAATAGATAAAAAAAATAGAATGGCATCATCGGTGAGGTTCGTCCAAACTGAGCTTATAGTTAAAACTATGTACATATAATACTTATATTTTTTAACAGAGGTTAAGATCTAATGAAACTCACGTGGTGTTACTGCGAGTAACGGCGACTCTCAGTGGTAACTACAGCTGCGAGGTGATACTAAACGCGCCTTCATACCCACACCAGACTGCCACAGCGAGGCTTGATGTTGTTGGTGAGTGTACCAAATTTTTTTTTAATTTATGGAAGTTTCTTTTGCGACGTTATTATGACTGGTGAGTTGATGTCAGGGCCGTAGCTACCACCGTATCTATCATATCAATTACATTCTTGTACAATAAACTAGTGACCGCAATGATCAGATACCTCTTATATGTTGCCATATCTGAAAATAAATATGACTCTATATGACCTGTAATCTCTTTATTGTATTCCTATTATTATTACTTTATATTTAATAACGGGCTTGAATAAGCGTTAAATGAACTCATTAATAACGATTCAATAGTAATGCCAGCATGACAAAACTAAGACATTCAATATTGCCGTCTCGTTTTATTTCATGTATTGTGACCAACTTGTTAATCAGTCTACATCCTATACAATAGCTGTCTTCAACGTTTTATAAATCAAGGACCAAAAACATTTTTATTTAACCCGCTTTTAGTCAAATCCGCTTATAGTCAATACGATCGACTATGCACCGAGGAGTAATATCCGACATTCGCGCCAACGTCGCCCGAGGCAAGGCAAGACCCCAGAGCGGTAGTTAACCTCTCCAAGGCCCACTCGTTCCACCCCGACAACACTTTTACACACTTACACGACACCGTCCTCGCCGGCGAAGACGACAACCTCACACACCTCCGGGCCCACCGCCCGGGCGCTCCACACCGGCGCCCGCCGTCGCCCCTACGATCGATCCCCCGTCCAATTCAACGAGGATCGATGTTACGACGGCCTGAGCCGAGGTTCGAACCCCTAGTGGTGCCCTCAGACTAAAGTCGTTTCCGTCAGGCGGGAGTTGGCCTTCAGCCGCTCCATAAGTCCTTCCGTGGGTTTGGAGTACCATCTGCACTCGCCCCCTGTCGTCCGGTGAAGCTGTAAAGGCCAGCTGCGGCTAACAGCAATAGAGTAGTCCGAAAAAAAAAATTTGCACAGCGGGCTGTACAATAGGTATTTTTGTAAGGATTTTTTTTATTTTATATTAAAGATACTTTTTATTACTTAATTGTTGTCATTATTGAGAGTGGGCTTATGCTGTTGGCGGGCCGTAGAAAACACATCAGCGGGCCGCGGGTTTAAGAGCCTTGCTATAGACGGTGTGAAAGTAATAGATTAAAATAGGATCTCTTTCACTTAGAATTCGGGATGTTCTTGACAGAACAGTTATGGTCGATATGCAGTGGTGTAAGTGGCAGATCTCATCCGGCATACGACAGCTCGCCATTTGTCTCTGGTTGCCATTCTGGTATACACATGGAGTGGACCGCCTAATGCTGCTTTGACTTGGTCGGTCCATCGCATGGACGATTGTCCACGATTGGGATATGATTATGCAAAACTAGCTGTTACCTGCGATTTCATCTGCACCATCATTTAGCTCCTTTAGCAGCTTATATACGACTATTATTTAAGATAAAAATTAGACTGTGTTCATCCTTGTAATATCTTTTATATTTATATATCATAAATTTATTTAGCAAGTCTTGAAAAATAACAAATAAATAGACAGACATACTTTCGCATTTATAATATATGTATGGTATTCATAACAAAATGGAGATCATGACCAACAGTAGGTGGATGTGGGAAGAAGGCAATATTACTGTCACTACATCATAACTTTATAATGATTAATTAAAATACGGGGGTTGTTTGATACAATTTTACAGTGACAGACTGACCGACAGATTTTACGTAGGAATAGGTATACATCATATAAATATATATAATACTATATATTAAATATTACATAATGAGATTTACATAATCGTTGATTTTTTACTATTAATGACTTTGACCCACCCTCTGGTCAGGGTGGACTCACTGTCCTCACAGAGTTATAGACCGTTTTGCCTCTTCATTACTTTAAAATTTTATTATTCTATGGGCAACAATTGTATTAGTTTTTGTTTGAGACAAATAAAGATAATTATCTTATTAATATTATAAACGCGAAAGTCTGTGAGTATGGATGGGACAACTGAACTTATTTTGATGAAACTTTGCAGTAATATAGCTTACACATCAGAATAATGCATAAGCTATAAATTTCACGCGGATAAAACCGCGGGCATAGCTAGTTATTATATAATTTTAATAAATTTGCCATCTGAACCCGTAAAGCTTTAGTCCCTCCAAATGCGTTCAATTATGACCCTTTCTGCTATCATAATAAGGCTGCCTGTTATTAGCTGATTGTATACCAGTCAAGAAATAAAGGATGATGTTGAAATCAGATCGCTTAAACCAAACTGTGTAATTTGCACGCAATTAACCCTCCAATGGTTACCATAGAAACTGCTTGGTAATCTATCTGATATTTAATACTTCGACAATTTTAGTATTATAGATTACAACCAATAATATTCACTTCAAAAGTGTATATCACTAACATAGTATAAAACAATGCGCTGTCGCTGTCTGTCCGTCCCTATGTAAGCTTAAATCTTTAAAACTACGCAGCAGATTTTGAAGCGGTTTCTTTAATAGATAAAGTGATTCTAGAGGAATATTTATATATATAATACATGTACACCCATGCGAAGCCGGGGTGAATAGCTAGTTTATAAAAATTTGTTTGTATTGTCAATCAGGTCTTAATACGGATAATTTTTATGGCAAATATATTTAAACCAATTTCATTACAAATAAATCAGTTCTTATATAGTTTACTTCATTAATAAGTAATATTTATATAAATGTTAATTTTCACGAGTTGGTTGGCTGTGTTAAGACGGTTAACAATATATAAACACTATGGATCTTTAAGAATAATCTGATAACAAATATTATAATCATACAGTAAATAAAAAAAATATACTACATAGAATCCTTTCGACGCAGAGATCTCTCTCTGCGTCGAAAGGATTCTAGTATATTTTTTTTACTAAATATTTGGCTTGTAATTTATCGGACACGTCTACGACTGAAGTGTTCGTTATTTTCACTGCATGCAGCTACCAGCGTAAATTACGAACTTGAGCATGCTAAAAGTCCGTCGTTCAAAGGAAGCGCTTGGTAGTGATCTTTTTGCGTGTTCAAGGACTTTTATTGCGGACAATTTTAAGCAGATCCAAAGTTCTTACTATAGTTTTTAAATATTATATTATATGTATGTTAGTCTTAAGGTTTTATAAAGTAGTTGCCTGAAATAAATGAATAAATAAATAAATATATGTCGTTTTTTAAAAGTTTCGTGTTTAATACAAATTATTAATGTTATTAACCGGGTCTTAACTAATCTTGGTCAAGATATGAGAGATACAAATTAATACTCATAAATTTTATACTTATAAATATATATATATATATATACAATATAAAAAAAATTAAGTATATATACCAACAAACACAAATACTTAATCAGTGTACATAATACATCTCCTCAAAGTAAAGCCATAAACACGGAGATCACTCAAAAATGTAAAAAAAAGAGATAACGGGTATGTATCGTTTTCTTTTCACAATCACGAATACTTCATAATCCTACAAAAAAAAATAAACATGTCCTAAAAAAAGAAGATAAAAAAAGGATAGATACCAAGAAGCGCAAATATTTTATCAGTATAAATATTCCATCTCCTAAAAATAAGACATCGCAAATCCAGTCACTCGTCTGTAAATATTAACATGTATAAATCTAAAAATAACACACGCATATAAATAAAATTCAAACTATCTATATAATAACACATACATACATACATATACATATGTAATATATAATCATCTAAACTACACATAATAACATAACTATTAGTATTAACAAATGTATGTATGTATAAACTATAAACAAAACAAATAAAATACTTCCAAAACACTTAACATACTCTGCTGAAACGAGCGTAACCCGAAAGCTCAAACGCAGAAACTTAAAGAGTTACAAAAATATGCTCAATAAAAAAAAGTATAATAAAATTGGTTTAAACACGAATAATTTTTATGGCAACTAAAGATTCGTTCTGGATGTTTCGACTGGGTTACACTAGCCGTGGTCACGAGCAGACTGCTGGTGTAACGTAGTCGAAACGAGTCAAGAGAGGTAAATACCTTTATTTATCATAAACTTAATCGTGTCGAGACTCTGTTATTATTATAAATAATATTATAATATTCGATCGTTTATACTTTTAGAATGAATATTACTACTTGTTTTCATCATTTTGATTAATATACTTTGAATAAGAATCTCGTAGTCTAGTATTTAATAGCCCCCGACTTCATCTTCGACTAGAATTCACAAGATCGAATTTAGTCGACACCAATCCTGCGCAGTTACGTGCTATATTTAAAAATGTTTTTTTTTTTTGATAAATTTATATATTGTAGGTCAAACTAATTACCTACAATAGATAAAATTTTCTATTCAGTCTTCTATAATGACAAATACGGATGAAGAGCCAAGTAAAAGCGAAGATCTCATTATCTCTCTTTATAGTTTATATTTTTTCTAATTGATCTTAAATTTTCTAATCTACTACTGGAGAAATACCAAATACTATAATGACTAATTATATAAAATCATAAATTGATGGTAGACTCGCCTTAAAAAATAATAACAGTTAGAATTTTCTCTTCGAAATGTGGTCATTTTAACTGTTACATTCACCGCGACGTCGATAGTTGTCAATACCTTAAATTACCTCATCTGGTACAACAGTCATGGGAACCTGTTTGTGATCCAAAATGTCATGTGTAATTTTATTAATGATAAAAGTTTTGAAGGTATATGTATATTTAACTCTAATACTCTAGCATTGTATATGAAGTTACCATTTATAACTGATACCGCTATGAGAAATCACTCCGTCAAATTGCTCTCAGCTCTACGTAAATGTACGAATATGCACTAACCTACGCTATTTGTTTCAAGGCTTTCAGGAACTTTACACTTCAATTAATATTTCTTGGAACATCTTTGGCAATAAATTATTCAATATTATTTTATTGCATAATAAACAGTTATTATAGAATAAAATTTTATTATAC